CAATTCTATAATAAAATTTACAAAGCATTGTCTTAGATATTTTTTTTAACATCCTTTTGTCCCTAATATCTATTTAATTTTTATTTTTTTTTAAATATGTTGGGCCCACTTAGCCCGTTTAGCCCGCGGGCCGGGACCGTTTAGCCCGAGACCAAACGGTCCTGGTCCCGGTCCCGGGCCGGTCCCTACAAAAATCCCGTTTAGGCCCGGGCCCGCTTGGCCCGTTTAATTTGGGACCGACCCACTTGCCAGCCCTAATTCCACCTAATAATATCTCCCTTGAGCAATTTGAGTTTATTCAACAGACGGAATGAGGGTGACCCTGATACCCCGTAGCTGGTCCACCATTCTTTCACTTTGTCACAAAATCCTGGCACTTTCAACCACATGTTCTCGAATCGGAAGGGAGCACGCACCCCCCTCCCTTTGCATCCATCTAGCAAGATAGGCAAATGATCCGAAGTCAGCCTAGGTAAAGGGATCTGCAACACATTCGGCACCAGCTCATCCCAGGAGGGCGATATCAGAAATCTATCGAGTCTAGACCTTGAGTTGGAATCCTCCGCACTGGCCCAAGTAAACCTTTCCCCGGACTGAGGAAGATCAATGAGAAACTGATCATTGATGAAGTCAGAAAACTCCTCCATGGCCCTCGAAATCAAATTGCACCCTAATCTCTCCTTCGGGAATCTAATAGTGTTAAAGTCTCCCCCTAGAACCCATGGAATGTCACATTCCCTCATAACATTATATTATTTTATCCTTAAAAGAAACCCCTAATAAATACAAGATTGGGGAGGCATTATAGCACTAAAGACACTTAAACGAGTTGGTTACTTGTGGTACAGACATATCCAATGGGGCCAGTAAACCAGCATAAATGATCGGGAGAAAAGCTAGAGGGCTCACCTTCAAGACAATGAACAATGAACTCTAGCAATCCACAATGGCATTAAGAGAGAACGGAAGGACACAAAAAACACCAAAAGGCTATGACCAAGAAAGGAAACGAAGGAATACGATAGACTATAAAAGCAAGTGAAGATCTGAATGCTCTTTAGGAGAACAATACAAATAAGAAACCAATATAGGGCCAACTAGCTGCTTTTTTTCAAAGAAAAAGACCAGCTTTATTGTCATCTTTTAGGATATCCACATTCTAATTCATATAGGTTATGTTAACAGAAAAAATATATAGTAATTTTATCCCCAAATTGGTTGTTCAATATTCTCTACAGTTCGCAGCACTTGACACATCCAAACAAAACTCAACGGTCCCAACAGCTTTCTAAGACCAAATTGTTTATTATAATAAAATAATAAATAATCGAGAAGGATATTAAAAAAGTGATCATAACCGACAAATACTTACAGGTAGACAAGCGAAGCTAAGAACACAAGCAGAACAAGCCTCTGTCTCGATCCATCTTGATTGAACAAAAATATCACTGCAGCTAGCTTCAAAATAAGCAAAATATCTAGCTGAAATGCAATTTGAAATCTTCTGACAACTATTTGTCGTTGTGGTCCAGGCTGTTGCTGCTGCTGCTGCTGCTGTCCCATCTGACCTTGCTCCTCACCTACAGTCCCATTTTCTGGAGTACTAGGTCCACTGTCAAGAGCAGCCATGCTTTTTCTTTTAGAAAGGAGTAGGAGTTTTATTGGACGCAACCTTCTTAAGAAACTTAAGATCACAAATTCCAATACTTCCCGTTTAAGTACTCAACATCAGGGCTTCATGTTTTGTCAGACTAGAGATGCAAAGTAAGGGAACAAAGACATTAATACATGGCATGTAATTAATTGGATATATAACTATTAGTTGCCACGTGCACGAGAAGTTTGTATTGCTTCATCCCTAGTATTCTAGGCTAATGGCATTTAAGTAGATGATATTTACAGCAATGGTAACAAACCACTGTATATTTTCAAGCATTACATGTAATAATGAAAACCATAATCAGATACAACTAAGAGACACGAACACTGAAGGGTGAATGGAAAAAGAAATTAGCGTAATAACATCGTTTTATTTTTTTGATCAGGTAAAATAAAAATTAGTATTATAAGTAATCAGCACCCAAAAAGGCGCTAAGCATGTACAGGAAAAGGCACTAGAGCTACATAAATTCTGTCCAGCACAGTATGTTTCCATATTAGGCTCCCTATCAATGTGCGATCGATTCTGGAGTTTACCTTAATGATGATATAATGCCACATATCTCATCATTAAAAAAGTGAAGTTCTTTGATTCAAATAAATAAATCAGATTCACGATCTTTCTCCCTCCCCACCACATATGATCCAAAAAGTTAACTAGATCCCAAGATTACTTGCCTGCTAAGGCTATCTAACATAACTTTCCACAATTTAAGAGAACTATCTGAGAAGCACTTAAATGGAACGACATGGTCAGTGAGGAGTCAGATATGCAAGTTTGGCTTCAATTTCTCAATAAATTCACAAGCCAAAGGGGTGTCAAACATTTCTAGTGTAAAGAAAATCTTGGAAGGTATATTTTCAGTATATTGCATGGACACAGAGCTCATAACAAATGCACATCCTTTATAGGGGTTTACCACGATATACTACATTATCCTCATTCCGACTTAAATGGACTGTGACAGGTAAGCTTCATCCCGCTTCATCCCTTCTTGTCATTATTCTCATTCTTTTTATTATTAATTTCCTATTCTTGGATTATTTTTAAGGAGAGAGTAATCTAGGCTTCGGCAACTTCAGTTACCAAACTTCCGTTGTGTAGCCAGAAGTGTTAATCTGCCCGTGCAATGACACTTATTCATGCAATGGACAAAAATGGTTAAAACACACTTTTACTAATGTCTAGAGAATTTTGCGAAAGCCTGACATGTTGTTACTCTTGAATAGAGAACGAAAATCTAGTAAAAACCTGACATGTTACACCTGAATAAAAAACTTTAGCTTTGACTAAAAACATTGTTAAATACTGTGCAGAAATCAGAAATTCTTGCTACATCAAATATAGAACCTGTGTTATACTAGGCAGATACATTAATCTAACTGAATATGATGCCATTAATTCAATGAAACAATGGAAAATAAAGAAACATATGGATCCTCTAAGACTAGACAGTTTAATTCCTGTGTTGTTTTAGAAGGAAAGTCAGCCATGCCAATTACAGAGGCTATGCAAGATGATGACGACGAAGACAACTTATACAACAGAAGAAGCTAGATCTGAAGTCCCAGGGACACTTACGTTGGTACAGAGTAAGTGAATGGGATTAGAGTGTTTGGTGGAAACCCTCCATATTGTCCCATAAAAGGGACAATAGGTACAGCATAAAGGCCTGGTCCACGGTTCAACTCCTCCTGGATTGGCTGTGTATTGAAAGCTCCGGGAAGCTGTGTAGGATACATGGATTGGAGCATCTGATAATTTAATAAGGGTGAACCATGAAATGATGGGAGCTACAAAAACAGATAAAATAATTAGCGAATAACTTCTCAAATGCAAGCAAGGATTTTCTTTCATAAGAAGCCAAGCAATAAATAAATCCAAGGAAAAGGAAAAAGTCTGTGGTCGCAAAATGTCCCGACTCTCAAAGTTGCAAAGGCATTTGCCTACCAAAAGGCTGGCCTCTGACATTAAAGGGCCTAATAAAGACAATGACATGACGGTACTGTTAGACATGGACAAAGATTCATAATCCTGCCAAATTCAGGGATTGTCGTAAGAGGTGCAATCAAGTTCATAACGGAGAATCGTCTTTCCAAGTTATTCTTCCAAATTACCACTCCATTAATCTTGATTTGAAACATGCCAGAAAGTAACCAGATAAGGAGAAGGTAGGATTTAATGACAAATCTTACTCTAAAGGGGGGATTCTTATGGTCCGCAGGTTGGATAAGGAGTTTCTTCTCATGATAGATTTAAGCCATGTTGCTTATGAAAGATTTTATATTTTCTAGTCTTTTCCAAAGTACCCGTGGGAAAAAATAAGTTGCATAAGGAGAACTTTTAATTTGATAAATTGAGGAACCAAGTTAATAGGATACTCATGTTTTAAACCAAAATGAAAAATGCCACAAGCAATTTGGGTAAACTTATCTAATTCTATCTTCTTCTTCTTTTTTTGATTAATAATTAACTTATCTAATTCTATCTTATTTAATATGATTAAACATATCTAAAAGAGAAGTCCAAACAAAAATAAACAAAACGTGAGTTAAGCAGGATGTGCAATGCTAAATGAGCTATTTCTTGGTTCTTAAATCCCAATCAGTATCAGGCTGTTCTGAAATTTCCTTCTACCCCCTGTGCAATATTGCAAAAATATCATCAGTTTTACTTTTCTTTAGTTAAAGTAATATCGCAAAATATATCATTTGTTGTATCCAAATGAAACTGATAACCATTCTCTGATTACATACTACATCATGGCTATAATAAAGGGTGCAAACACAAAAAAGAAACATATTCCAAATGCGATCCCACCCTTGTATATGAGGCATAAACAGTAATCATTGCATCAATACATTAGAAATGGCTTAATAAGCAAACAGACACTCGTACTTGCACTAAACTCTGTTGCCGACCCCTCAACTTCACGAGTTCTCAACCAAACACTTCAACTTGATCAAAACAAATGTTTTAAACACCTCCGAGCGTTGACCAAGCTTATGTGGCGTCGATTTGGCTGAGTTGGAAGAAATGCTTGAAAATTGCAAGCATATGAAGAGAGTGATATGGTAGTGATTTTGATTTTAAAAAAAAAGATTAAAATAAGAAAATAATGAAAAGAAAACTAACAAAAGTTAAAGTTAAAAATTTATTCTTAAACAGAATTTCTCCTCCACTACCCCATTCTCTTCTTTTTTCTTGCACCCCACCCCCCTCCCCTCTCCCCACACCCTCCCTTCACATGCACACAAATCCATTCCCTAAATATTCCTTCACCGCTACTACGTGACCTCTCTGCTCCATCACCTCCTACATCTCTTCCTCATCCCTTTCGTTGCCAACAGATTCCTCCGATTTGGAAGTAGAAATAATCACCAAAATGGATTTCAGCAGCTAAACTTCAAAGAATGTTCTCCCTTCTTATTATCAAAAACTTCCAATTTCTGTGACCAATTTAGTCCGTTGTCTGATCTCTAACACTGGACACACTGATGAAAAATCCAAATGGCAGCGACTCTTGTGCTTGCACCTTCCTAACCATCATAATTGTGGGGCGTATGAAACTCATAGATTTGCATAATAGAGAGGTCCAGCCAAAGGAATCTCCTAGCTCTGTCGATCCATGAAAAAGCCGACACTAATGTTCATCCAGATGATCACAAGTTGAAACTAAAGAAGTGAATGCGGTTTGAGTCCTTTTCCCTCCCCCTTCCTGGTTCCTCTTCCCATCCCACTTACTTTGACGTTGCTGGACGTGAGAGGCTCTAATTGAGGGGGGTATTGCTGGTGTTTCCTCTTGGTGAAGAAGAATGGCGCAAAAAACGTGAGGAAGGGCAATCTTTGGCCGTGAGGATGGTGGATATAAGTTGGTGGGTCTGGTGGGTTTATACCGTGGCAATGGAGAAGGTTTGGGGGAACTGCCTGAGTTCTTTTTCAGGGAATGGGGCGGCATTACAGGGAAGGAAATGGGAGAGAGATTTAATGGGTGAAGAGTCCAGATGTAATGGTGATTGTATCCAGCGAAACTCTTACCGGATGAATTGTCCACTTCAGCAAGCTTTTGGGAAATCCTCTTTTAGCCACTTCAATGGGTTTTTTCATATAAAAATTAAATTAATAAAGTTTATTTAAAGGAAGAAAGAGAGATGTGTCATCCACATCAAGCAAGTCAGGAACATGGATGGTCGGAGGTGTTTTAAACACAAGTTTGAATATGTTCAGGTGTCTGGATGAAAACTCGTGCAGTTGAGGGGCCAGGAAAAAAGTCCATGCAACTACGAGTATCTATTTTCCTATTAAATCTTATGAAAACTAAGAAAGGCTCAACATTAGATAGACAATTCAAAAAATCTACATTTAACCCGCAATTTAGTGTTAAAGATCAGAAACAAAGTCTACATTTAATCTGCGATTTAGTGTTGGGGTCAGCAACAAAATAATGTGGAAGTACGAGTATCTATTTTCCTATTAAACCTTAAGAAAACCAAAAATGACTGAACATTAGATAGACATTTTCCAAAAATCTACATTTCAATCTGCAATTTAGCCTCCCAAAACCATAGGATTATACTCCCTCTATCCCAATTTAAATGATGCACTTTCTTATTTACTTTTTTCCAAAAAGAATAATACCTTTCTATATTTAGAAAAAAATTAACTTTAAACTTTTCATTGTGCCCTGAATGAGATGATTATAGTCACATAAATATCTATGGCTTGTTTTAAACCACAAGTTTCAAAAATATTCCTTTCTTTCTTAAACTCCATGCCCAATCAAAGGGCATCACATCAAATAGAATGGAGGGAATAGCATTTAGTGGCTCCGTAAAGTTAATAGGATCCTCACCCACCCAC